TGCTACGCAAGCAGTGGGAGCGCCACGCGCACGGGCGCCACATCCGGCGCAAGCATCTTCCGGCAAAGGTGGTGAAGGCGACGGAGCTTTTCTTCAATGTCACCGACGACGGCGGCATGGCCCTCAGCGAAGAGAAGCGGGCCGGTTACGTTCCATGTGGCATGATTGTGTGGCTGGTGACTATAACGCCGCCGACATACTACGACAGTGAAACCAACACCGCAGACAGTCGCCGGTTCGTGATGGTTGCCAATGACATCACATTCCAGTCCGGCTCCTTTGCTGTCCCGGAGGATAACGTGTTCTGCGCCGCATCGGCACTGGCTCGCCGGCTGCGTATTCCGTTCGTCTACATGAGCGCCAACAGTGGCGCCCGGCTTGGGCTAAGCATGGAGGTAAAGAAGCGTTTCCGTGTCGCCTTCAACGCGGCAAATGAGGTGGAGTACCTCTACCTCCTGCAGTCTGACTACGAGGAGCTGATGCGGCGCGGTGTACAGTTGTCAGTGGAGGAGCACCAGCACCAGCCGCAGGAACAAGGCGCAGGTGCTGAGACGCGGTACATTATCCACGGCATTGTCGGAGCACCTGATGAGTACCTGGGTGTGGAAAACCTACGTGGATCCGGCCTTGTTGCGGGGCACATGTCAAAGAACTACAGCGAGGTACCAACCATCAGCGTCGTGACAGGCCGCAGCGTTGGCATTGGTGCGTACTTGAACCGTATTGGACGCCGCGTCATTCAGACCGACGACGCACCGCTCATTTTGACGGGTTCTGGGGCCCTCAATCGCCTCCTCGGCAAGGAAGTGTACAGCGACAACAGTCAGCTTGGTGGCAAGCAGGTGATGGTACCGAACGGCGTGACACACTGGGGCACGAAGAGTAACTACAACTCCGCTGAGACGCTGCTGCGCTGGCTTGATTACATCCCGCCCGTTGTGGACCCACTGCGCTGCTGCCCCCGTCGCCTCGCGCTGCCGCACCAAGACCCGATTGACCGCGACGTGACCTTCACGCCGAGCGGCCACGAGGCGTACGACCCACGCCTCCTTGTGTGTGGCAGCGGCGACAAGTCGGGTCTCTTTGACCGCGGCTCATGGATGGAGTCGCTGGAGGGGTGGGCGAAGTCTGTCGTGACGGGCCGCGCGACGCTCGGTGGCATTCCGTGTGGCGTCATTCTTGTAGAGACGCGGCTGACGCGCAAGCTGAACCCCGCCGACCCCGCCGACCCGACGTCGGCGTCGTCCTTCATAGCGCAGGCGGGGCAGGTGTGGTTCCCCGACTCCGCGCGCAAGACGGCGGACTCCCTCGACGACTTTCACCGCGAGCGGCTGCCGTGCTTCATCCTCGCCAACTGGCGCGGCTTCTCGGGGGGAATGCGGGACATGTTCGACGAGGTGCTCAAGTTCGGCGCTTCCATCGTTGACAACCTCCGTGTGTACAACGCCCCGGTGTTCATCTACATCCCGCCCTTTGGGGAGCTGCGTGGCGGCGCGTGGGTCGTCGTGGACCCCGTCATTAACCACAACGGGGCGGTGGAGATGTACTGCGACCCCACCGCGCGTGGCGGTGTGATGGAGCCGTCCGGCGTGGTGGAGATAAAATTCCGCGAGAACGACGTTAGGGAGCTTATCCACCGCAGCAACCCGCACCTCGCCGCGCTTGACGCGAGCCAGCTGCGTAAAGAGGTGAACCGCCTCATGCCGCAGTACCGCGACGTGGCCGTCCGGTTTGCCGATCTGCACGACAGCCACGTTCGTATGCAGGCGACGGGTGTGGTCCGGGGCGTGATCCCGTGGAAGGACAGCCGCCGCCTCTTCCACGCGAAGCTGCAGCGCAAACTGAAGGAGCTCGCCGTGGCGGCATCGCTGGTGGAGGCGAAGACGGTTGGCTCAATGATAGAAGGTGTGCGGAGGATCGAGGCGGCCTTTGCACGGGAGCACCCTGACATCCCGTGGGGTACGGATGACGTGATGCAGCTGCAGTGGCTCACGGAGAAGGAGGGAACAGGCATCTTCGCCGCCTCTGCCGCCTCGTCCTCACTGCTGGACAGCGTGGCGGGGCTGGTGGCTGAGTGCAAGGCGACCGGTGCGCTGGACAGGTGCTTCCAGAGCCTCTTTGCGGACGAGGAGGTGCTGAAGGCCGCGATGCAAGCGATAAATAAAGCCAATGAGAAGCCAATGAAGCTGCGGGCTTTTGACGAGGAGGACTACATTTAGGCAAGCCAAGCAAATGAGGCGCATGACTAAAGGAGAAAATCATATAAAGTGGAAAAACAAAATATGTTGCGGTCCTTTTTTTTT